AGTTGTTGTTGATTTCTACTGCAGAGATTCCCACCAAGCCCTCGGTTTTTGATGGGTGAATAGTCTTTCAATGACAGAAATGGCGATGAATTTTATACAATCTATGTAGAGTTAGTACATTTACCATGATTGAACGCTGTCAGAGAAACGGATGCCTCTTTACATACCTGTTCATCTTTATCTGATGCTTATTGTCGGCCCATTTAAATTATTTTCTGTCACTCGCTGGACTTTTCCTGGGTCCAGAGCTGGATTTGGAGAAAGCGGGAGTTTATTACTTTGTTTCCTTTCAGGATGTCACTTTTAGCGATGCTTGTAATGATTAACTTCATCGCTAGCATATTTGCCTAGAGAGGATTCTTGCAGTTTCATTTGCCGACAGTTTTCGATTTGTAACAAGCTTTCATAGCTGGCGTAATGATAGAGATTATGCTTTCGGGCTGTGATGTCCTTCTTGAAATGTGATCTTTTGCTTTTGTTATTGCTTGCTCTCCGTTGCATAGGCAAGGGGTTCGGTTTATATGCAACTGCGCTCTAACTGTTATACATCTTCTGATAAAAAAATTTCATTCTGATTTGTCACGCATCCTCAAGACTGAATATATACCGTGACTTCCAGTTCTTTCACTCAGTGGACACTGAATAAGCATCAAAATATACTGGTGTCGCTTAAGACGTACCATACTCGAAGGTCGTGTCGCTTTACAACACCGGCTCTCTGTTATCTGAAAAATTGATGGTGTGAAGTACTACATTGTTCATAGGCCGTTGTCTTGTCGGATAAGTGAACCTATGTTCATAATGTTTTCTAGACAGTTTAGCTCTAAAGTCATTGCATCTGTCAGACCTCTATTTGCCATCCTTTCGTTGGCCATGATTTGCTTAGATTATGATGGATTTTCTCACTTCCCATAGCGATCAGAGAGAATATCCTCAACGTTTTTCTCGACAACGTGACCACTTTGCACTGTCTATGGCACAGAAAAGCGAAGCAATTAGTTTTATGATGTCCCCTGATCTTGAACTGTGACAAATACCGAAGTAACAATGTGGTGATTAAGTTTTTTTGTCTTACGTCTGCGATCTATTAGGCCCCAGTTATAAAACCATAGTGGCTTTTGGCATGCCTGCTAGCAGTTTTTTTCACCTTTATAACTTATTTCAGTGGCCTCTTTTATGCAAATTCTTGAGAAGATTTTATCCTTTGCTCTTTTAGCTTGAACCGGGTGAAATCGTACAACAATCAACAGCTCATGCTTCAAACGCTAACCAAGCTAACTCTGTCAGCAGAAAAGCGGGTTCTAAAGTAGTCAATGGCAACAGCGTTTCGACCAATCATAACTGCTTGAATAAAAGTCGAGATTGGATGCCAGGATCGATGGCAACTGCTAGTCGTGCCAAAAGGGTAAACAGTTTAATTTAAATTTGCTGTTTTCGATTACCTTGTCATTGTAAAAAAAATTATTGACCATCAATTTAAATATTTGGTTTCCTGTACGTATCGCGTGCATTTTAGATGTTTGCATGAATTATATCTGACCTTACGGTCGAAATAGGTATCCAAATATTAACTGAAGAGTTCGTGGTGAAATACTTTCGCCTTGGTTATTCAACGTTGTTCTTTTCTTCTCTTAATAATACT